CCTGGCTCCAGCTGGCATTTGAGCTTGCTGGGGTTGTGTGAGTTTCATCCTCTGGAAGAGACACTGTGACCTGTGAGATGGTGAAATTGGCTGAAGGAGGCTTTAGGGAATTTTGAGTCTAAACTTTTGACATCTTTATTAGCTTTAAAAGGCTGGAGAAAGTCCTTATTTTGGAAATATGTTTTATTAGCATGACCTGTTGTCTTTCTTGCATTTCTGTCTTGATATTAGTGAGGTTATTATCTCACTGATTTTTTTTTTAAGACTGTTTCAGAATCCCTGGGTTTGGCACAAATAGAAACCACCTTTAAACATTAAATGTTTGGAACTATTCGACTGACTTATATGTCATTGGTGTTACCGTCATGAGGCAAAACTAGAACTGTATCTGAGATCTTGGAGCTTCTCACCTTCTGTCCTCCCACTCCAAGAATTACCGTGTGACAATTTAATCTGCTTTTCAGGAAAACGAGATCAAGTTGTTAACTGCAGAAATTGAGCGTCTGAAGAACTTTGGATGCTTGGGAGTCTCCCCGAGTTTGGAGGGGTTGCGAGACGAAAACGCAAAGCTTAAGTATCGGTTAAATTTCCTTCGAAAGGTAGGGGAATAAAGAATTATCGCTAAATAAATTACGTCAGTTTGTAACGGCTAGTAATGTGTGACAGCATGCTCACTTTGCATCTGACGCCTTAATTGTTGGTGCCACATCAGATATTTCTTGGTTCCTTAAACAGAAGCCTACTGTATGAAAAATAGCAGTAGGTCAGTAAGCCCACACAGTCAAGTCTTGACTAGTCACAGAACGGGCAGCCGGCTGAGGTCTCTACCAGGTTCACTGACAAAGGTGTGAGAAGTATTGCAGCCCTGCATTCAGGAGAAGCGTTTGTGCTGGGAGGTTTAAAGGGAGAAGCAGCTCGTGAATCACGTGATTTTAATGTTATCTATGTTGCTCCTCTGCCTGGAGGTGTCAGCCAAATCTGTCAGCCGTGCTTTGCCAGGCAGCCAAGGAAAAAGGTGGGATGTAAAGGCTCCTCAGATGCTGTGAATTTAGCCTTCTGGATTTTGTTTTTTCAGAGCCTTCAAGAGGAAAGAAGTAAAACAGCAAAAAGCATGATTAATATCAACAGCTGTCTTCAAGAGATCTTTGGAGCTGCTATTCAGGCTGCCTACCCAGATTTAGAAAACCCTCCATTAGTAGTGACGCCAAGTCAGCAGCCCAAATTTGGGGATTACCAGTGTAACAGCGCCATGGGCATAACGCAGGTAAATCTGAACGATCTTACAAAGAGAGGAAAAAATGGGGATGTTGCCTTTTGGAAGGTAAGTGATAGACAGCACAGTGAGAGTTGGAATATTAGACCTGTTTCAGGCTTGTTGCAGGCCTTTGGGCTGAGAATTCAGTGAGTAATGGCATTTTAGGGGAAGCATTGGCCTTCACAGAGTAGACCTTTAAACCTCCATTTAGATGACTGATATGAGAGAGTTACATGTGTGTCACACAGAAAAACCCCTCTGTTCATGGGATCTAAATCAAATCAGAATTTAAGTACTGCATTGATTTGCTAATGATGTGCAATTAACTACCAATTAGTGAGCTATATGTTTGGAACTAATACCAGCAAAACAATAAATCACAATTCCAGACAGCTACGAAGTGTTGATGAACACCTACAGATCTCTAAGTGCTCTTCTGTAACGCCAGGGAAGTATGATGTCCCCACACACATTTGCAGTTATGTGTGCAACCCCCGTTCTGACAGGGCAGGTGGGTTACAAACACACCCTGTCTCTGGGAGTGCAGGTTCCCCTCATTGCACACATACACATAGCAGTGAGCAGGGGCCCAGGTGCTCCCCTGTGCGCCCGAGTGGGGCACAGGTCCCTGCGTGCTGCATCCTGAGCTGCCCTCCGCAAGCTCCGGCACCTGATGGTGTGGGTCATTGTCGGGTCTGCACAGAGGCTGTGGTGTGCATGAAGCACCTTCTCACAGCGTCCAACCAAGAGTAGACTACTCAGGCACCGTCCTTCATACTTCTCTAGTTGACTCCCTCGTTTCAAAAGTTTTTGTGACAAATGCTTTTTCAGGTGGATTTGAGTGCACTATTCCACACAGTTTTTGTGCTCGTGTATCCTATCTTATTGGCGGTTGTTCTCCAAGCATTTGCTGAGGGGAGGTGGTGTGGGCATCCCCACATCTGTGGTTGGTATTTTCTTTTTACTGAGCAAAAGCCAGGAGGCATGGGTGGTTTTTTATGTTCTGATCTTGGAGGTTTTCAGGCAGCTGTAGGAATGGCTCCACTTTACAGAACACCTGTTAGGTGTGTGGAGAGGAAGGAGTGGGGTTATTTTAACCTGGCTAGTATTAACAGTTACTTTGAGAACTACAGCATTGCTCCTTTCTGGAAGATATTTGGCCAAAGAGGACCCAAACAGAATAAGAGACAATTTAGGAGTTGCTCAGTGGGCTGGGACTGTGCTGAAGTAAAACCAGGAGGTGGGGGAGAAAGAAGGTAGTGCTTAGGTGCTAAAGTGCCTGGACTTTCAATGCATTCATGCCTTTGAGTGAAGAGATAGACTCTTTGTAACTATAGATCTTTTATTTTGCAATCTCAACAGAAGCAACATTGGGTTTTTAAGTGTTCTGTTGTCAATTCACCTTTATTAATCTATTAGACTGGAAATCTTGACATTGAACTTGCACCGACGCGCATGGAATTCTCCTCTCCCAGGTTGTCATCTGCAGCTGCTGTGTCTGTTGTCCTGCCACAGTGAGTTTGACTCCCAGGCAGCATCGATACGTGCTAGCCAGCAGGCTCTTGGTCTGAAGTGCCAGGGCGGAAACAGCCCTCACAAATGCGTGTCATCTTCCCTTGGTCTCGTTAACATATTGTGACTGGGCTCCAGGCAGGGGAGCACCCTGGGTGACTGCACTGACATGGGCTTTCAGAGCTTTGCCATTTTTCTGACCGCTGCTTTACCCCAATTAAGTCGCAGTTGGGATTCTCAAGCAGTCCTGGCTTCTCAGTGTTGACGTTGTTGGCATAACTCAGTGTCTGAACAGTCCCCTTCAAACCAGGGTTTCAAGTTCCAGATTGTCAGCTGTACTGGTAAATAAGGGTTCCTAGTACTGGACTTGGCTATAGAGTGTGTTCCCTGGAAAGACACGCTGTATAAACTGGGCCTGAGCTTGGCAATACTCCCACATGCAGCATACTCAGAGCGTATCAGCACAGCAGAGCCAGGAGATGCAGTGTAGTTATTTCCCTCCGAGAGCAGCAGGTTATATACTTTCTGTCAGCCTAAGTTTTAAGGACTTGACTGTGGTGCTCCCTGTAGAGCCTTGCCCCCCCAGGGAGCTGGAACACCAGTCACCGGGACTGCCAGAGGAGCAGGAGGTGCCCTGACTTGCAGGCAGCACTCCTACGTGCCAGGCAGCAACTTCTCTCTGCAATGCGCCCATGTGGAAGGAGCCCTCACAAATGCATATTGTTTTCCTGGGAGCTCGTTAGCATATTAATGCCTGGGGTTTGAGCCAGGAGCTCTGCTTGCTCCTTAGAGTAATAGGAGTACAGGGACTGTTCCTGGAATGATTCAGATACATGCCTGTAATCTGGTGTAACATGCCCGTAATCTGGTTTTGCATTTATTTTTCCTGTAGTTTGCACTTTGAGTAGCATTAAAGGCTAAAGACATTTTCTTTCCTTGCCCATTCAAAGCCTATACCATCTTGGAAGGATTCCGGGACGATCAACTGTATGACAGGTTGAACAGGACAGAAGTCACATTTTGCAGCAGACTGCAAGCTGGCAAATACAAGCAGTAGTGAGTGTAGATTCTGAATTGACAAAGAGGTACATGCTTTTCGTGGCCTTGGTGAGAGGGACGTGATAGATTATTTTTAAATATGCCACAGTAAGACTGGAAAAACATGCACTTAAAAAAAACTAGTTGTGGTAATTTTATACAGTGCGAATGTAGTGTTTTGCAAGTGGTTGGGCTAGCTCACAGAATCCTCCTAAAGGGTGTTTTTCTAAGATTTGCAAAAAGCTGTGTGAGAATATGCTTTGGGAATGGACAGAAAAATTGTGGACTAGATGATCATTGAAGGTCTCTTCCAACCAGAATATTCTGATTTTGTCATTGTATCTGAACTTGCATCGTGTTACTTCCTCACAGTGGGCCATTTATATCTGGGGGGAAAAGGAAAACAGTTTTTCTGATGCCCTTTGATGAAAATTGGGCAGTGTTAGGATTACCTTTGGTCGCTTGGGTTGTTGGATGTTATTATTTATTTATTTATTCATTTATTTATTAAGTTTGAGCATAAGGTAGGACTGAAAGCCGTTTGCTTTGGTTGCTTTTAATCATAAATTGGCAGATTTGCTCTGAAACCACACTCAGGATATACTGGAGGCACAGTTCAAAACTTCAAATACGAATGCTGGCAGAGCTGAGGATACCCATGAGGCTGATGAACAGGATTTTGAAGCAGTGTGAAGGACTGGACCAGCTATGTTGATTTTTAAAGGGTTTGTCTTTTAGTAGCTTAGAGAAATAAAAATTTGTCAAACCACTTAACAGGTTTTTGAAAAATGGCCTGGAAGATTTTTCTTCTGACATAGGGACTACCCCTTAATTGCCCTTAGCAGAAGGGAGTGAATGTTTTGGGTCTAATTAGAGTTCTGCTGCATAGAAAGAGCTGATCTAATCTGTAAAATTTGCTAGAGATATTTTTCTTTGTGTGTGTCTCTGCATTACAAAGCTAAAGGATCATGAGGATCTTTCAGTGCTGTAGCATCTATGCTTTCTGTTTCGCTCTGTAGAATGTTTTGGAGGATTGAATTTTACTTGATCTTCTTGCATTTCAGATACTGCTCAAAACCAAGGAACAGAAGGTTAGCCCCAGAGAAATCGCTGAGAAAATAGCAAAAAATATTCCTGCCAATGAATGCATTGAGAAGGTTGAAATTGCCGGTCCTGGTAAGATAGTTTCATGTTACACACTTTGTATGTTTTAAAGCTAATAGGGCAATTTTATACTGGATGGTGATGAGGGAAGCTGAGTTGAGTTCAACTGTTTTGTGATTTAAAACTGCAGTTATGGGGTGAATTAGCTGCTTCTGTCTTGGTGAGCTTTGTAGCCCTCAGACTTGTGCAGCAGCAGAAAATCTACACCTCTGTTGGAATTGGCAAGTGCAATCCTGAGCCCTTTAATTATCAGTTTTTCCACTGACCCTTAAGGGACCAGCTTTTCTCCTTTGAATATTGGTGATGGGTATCAGGCCACAATCATGAAATCACAGCAAAAATCGATAAGCCCTTCTTGCTGTTGCTTGCATGGTAAGGAGACCTTGTCCTCTCAGCACTGAGATGCTGAAGTAGCAAGGAGGTTATTAATTGCTGTATCTGTTTTGTCCCTGTGACCCAGGAAGAAATACAAGGGCTCATATTTCTGAGGGCTGCAGCATAAACACAGAAATGACATAGCACAGCCCTTCAAGTGCTTGTGCAGAATCTCATTCATTAGCTCTGTGAAGCAGTGTTTTTCCACAAGCATGGGACATCCCAGGTGTAACTATGCTTTAGAATATTTTAAAAAAGGAGACAAAGCAGGATTTAGTTTTGCATTCTGCAAACCCTGGCAAGATGATTTATTTTCTCATAAAAAATGTTTTTATAAATTCACCTGTGAGTGACAATGTGCAAAAAGGAGTTATGTCAGTGGACTAGCTTGCAGAATCTCCTACAGTAAAGGCTGTAGTGGTGTGAGACAGACTTTTGTAATCTAGGAACAGAAATTGTCTTCTAGTGACAACTTTGTTGTCCTGTTGCTGAAAAAAATTTTGTTTTGTCAAGCTAACTACATACGGTCTTGACCTTGATGCGAGGAAACAGAAATCCAAGGGTGAAGGAAAAAAAAAGTGGTTTGAGGCACTACTGCAAGCCCTAGTACTCATTGCTGGTTTTCTCTTCTTAAAGGTTTTATCAATGTCCATTTGAGAAAGGATTTTGTATCAAAGAAGCTGAGCAGTTTATTGATAAATGGAGTTCAACCACCAGCCATCGGCAAAAGGAAAAAGGTACAGCATTTAGCACATAGGCATCCTGCTCCCATATAGATGGAACATGCTGGACTGCAGGTAGCTTTAAAATCCCTCCCTAAAGTGATTTGTTGAGCAGATGTCCACATCAGCTGGTTGTTAGAGCAGAGTAAATGGGATGTGACTTACTTAGGGACTGGGGGCCACGGGGTAGGCTGCGAGTACCTGGTGGGTGAGGGACGGGGCTCCCCGGGGACGGCGTGTTGTGCCGAGGTCAGTCTGGGAGTGACCCCCTGAGGTCAGTGGAGGCGAGCCTTGTTCCCCCCTGCTCGCCGCCCGCCCCAACAAAACCCAGCTTACACACATGGAGTGTGGCAATGAATGCTGCCTTCTATTGATTTTTTTCCTTTGGTACCGTGTTGAAGGTGGTGGTGGACTTTTCATCCCCTAACATTGCAAAGGAGATGCATGTTGGCCACCTGCGGTCTACCATCATCGGAGAAAGTATGTGCCGACTGTTCGAATTTGCAGGTTATGATGTTTTGAGGTGAGAGTGAACTTTTGGGTGGGGTGGGCTTGTTTGACTAAATTTATGCAATACCTATCTCTGTGCTTTGGTCTGTATTGGTCTTTTTTTATAAGCACGTAACAATCCTTTATGTGTAGTAAGATACTAAGCTGAGCAGGTGTAGCAGGGTTAGGGATCAAAATGGACAGCAGCTTCATTGCAGTGAAATTGGGGGGAGCTAGCCAGTTTTTGATTTCTGATATTATGTGTTGATTTCTGACATTATGTGTGTTTCTTCTTTTAGAATATACATTTTTTAAATGCGTGTATTTTAAAGCATATATTTGAGAAATAATTATTGTTGTGCTCTTTGATTGCTTCAAGGTTAAACCATTTAGGAGATTGGGGCACCCAGTTTGGAATGCTCATTGCTCACCTCCAAGACAAATTTCCGGATTACTTAACTGTTTCTCCTCCCATTGGAGATCTCCAAGCTTTTTACAAGGTATTTGTGGCAAATGAGTGTGGCATTTATGTCAACATCTGAAAAGCAGATTGAGGAGCTTTACAAATTGCAGCATAGCATGCTGCCTCTCTGTCTTTTGAGATGAATCTGTTACGAATATTAGCTTGTTTCACAGGAGAAAGAGGTGCTTTTTCATGTATAGTGTTTTACCACAGGAGTCCAAGAGGAGGTTTGACACAGAGGAGGAATTTAAGAAACGTGCCTACCAATGTGTGGTGCTGCTGCAGAGCAAAAACCCAGACTTCATTAAAGCGTGGGAACTGATCTGTGACGTGTCGCGGAAAGGTGACTTTGCCACATTCAGAAATGTGTCTCAGCAGTAGAACAGTGTTGCTTTCCTCACCTTTATGTCTGAGTCCATCCTCTAGTTTTCTTTTGAAAATCACTGCCAGAATGCTATGAGAAGCTTTAAGAAAAAAGCCGATACATCCAAAGTACTGGCCTGTCTGTGGAGGCTTTCAGCTAAATCTTTTGTCTCCTGAGTCCTAGTCTGATGGCTTCAGCAAGAGATGGAAAATGCCTTTAGGGACTTGCTGTGCCCATTGGTAAACGTGCCACTAATTCCCGCTGTGTATTTTGTTCTGTTTTCCTCCTCAAGAGTTCCAGAAAATCTACAACTGCTTGGACATCACACTCATAGAGAGAGGGGAATCGTTCTACCATGAGATGATGAAAGACATCGTGAAAGAATTTGAAGATAAAGGTAAGGCTTTTGGTCTCAGAGTCAGAAATTCTGCAGCTGTCAGGATGAGCCAGGTAACCTCGCTCCTCTTGAGCGAGGCTTAGTTTTTGAAGTTGCACATTCCCCACCCTTGCTCTTTTTCTCAGCCACATGTCCTGAGTGGATTTTTTGTGGCATTTTCTCCCAGAGAAGCATTAGCAGAATTGATTCTTGTATGTTTCATTCCAGAAAGCTTAAATCTTTCTTGCTGACACCAAAAGCAGTGTGCCTGTGGTATTTGTAGGCAATAGCATGAGGATTTTATTGTATCCTTAGTATTTAGTTGATTACTTGACTATTTAAGGAGCAATATATGACAGACTTCCCGGTCTTAGTGTTGTGCTTGTATGGGAACTTTGTCTGAGAAATCTCTGTGAAGACAGTGGCATTTTTGGATCATGTTGACTTTGAGACTGGCAAGAAGCCAAATGGAGCGTTAAAATGTCTCTGGGTTTATGAGTTTCCTGTCTGGATTTGGCATTTGTTGGATCTCACCACCTGAAGTGTTCTGACTGGCCTTACCCCTGAAAGACTTTGTGCTACGTCCCTGTTGCCTCTCTGTAGAGTTTTTGTTGCTCTTAATGCCATACTTTGTGATGATGGTTTTGTGGCTGTAAAGGTGGAGCTGGATGCCAGTGACAGGAGTTTTTAAATCCAAATAGGTCTCTTCTGATAAGGCCAGATCAGTAGAGATCCGCTTCCTTGTGCAAAGTGTGAGCTCTGGAAGTGCAGTTCAGAATGTGACTTGGTTGGTGAGGGAGTTGTCATTTAGCTTTTTTCATATTTTGAGCCATTAATTATTTGATAATGCGAGTGCATGGCCTTTTCTTTCTGGTACCATCCGGGAAGGCCAGTGTTTCTGCTTGTGCTGGCCCACAAAATTCCCCGTTCAATATGACACAATGTTTTCCATTGCTTTTCTAGGATTTGTCCAAGTTGATGATGGCCGGAAGATCGTGTTTGTCCCAGGTTTCCCTGTCCCATTGACGATCATGAAATCGGATGGAGGCTTCACGTATGACACATCTGACTTAGCTGCTCTTAAACACAGGTTGTGTGAAGAGAAGGCTGATATTCTTATATATGTTGTTGATAGTGGCCAGGTGAGTATGCCAGCCTCTGCTGTCACTGCTGGTCCAGATCATGAGAAAGTGTGTTAAATGACAGATGCAACAGTAACATAGGTAGAATGCTACAGGGGTTTTACTGTGGTATATTAACTCTTGTCCTTATCAGTGTAACGGTGAATCTAGTTTGGTGGCTGGTGGTCTCCATGAAGGACCCCCTAGAACTCAATCGATTAGGGAGAGACCCAGTTACCACTGGAGGTGGGTGAAGCCTAAGGCTCAGTAGATCTGGAATGAGATTTGTACTGCGTATACTTGGGTCTCTCCTTACCTGAGGAAATGCAAGGTTGTCAACTCTGTATCTGAGCAGCGATGGGAATTTGCTGGTGCCTGCTTCTGTAAGCCAGGAAAACTCTGAGAAGTTGAACTTTCTGAAACGGAATTTTTCTCTGGAGCTAGAGACATTTTAAGTCTCATTGCGAAAGCAGCACTGTGAAGGGGATAAAGCTGGGAAGAAACCTGTACCTGGAGGAGTGGGTTGAGAACCAGTTGTTGGTATTTGTTCCTTGCAGTCGGTGCATTTACAAACGGTGTTTGCAGCTGGACAGATGATCGGCTGGTATGATCCCAAAGTAACCAGAGTGGCCCATGCCGCATTCGGAGTGGTGCTGGGAGAAGACAAGTAAGTATTTGATGTAGTTTTTCCTCTGTATGTGCTCTGAAGAGGATGTTTGAGTGAATGCAGAAGACTTGCTCTTGTTTGTTGACAAGTGGCATGCCCCCGCACCAAAAAAAGCACTGCATCCATGCTGTTATTCGTAACTCTGTCATTTCATTGTGAGTCATGGTCCTTGATCCACGTAGTCACTGGTGCTGTCATCAGGTTCCCTCTTGGGCCTGGCTTCTGCTGCCTGGCATTTGGGGAGGGGCACCAGGAATGGTGGAAGTGCAGTGGAAGCTGATGTAAATACTGGGAGATGGCAGTGGTAAAGGCCATGATTTCCATTATTGTCTACCTGCCTCATGGTGGATGAAACAAACACTTCTGTGTCCTGGTGTGCAAACCAGGCCCTTGTGCCTCCAGAGCTGTGTCTCTGAAGGTGTGGCTAAGTCAGTGTGCTCTGACAGTCATGTACCATTGTGGACTGGGTGGTTGTGCTGTAGCTTTGTTGTTATAAAAGTAAAGGTGGCTTGCTGGGGTAGGCAGGTATCTGGCACTGGTGCTGTGTCCTGCTTAATGTCTGAAACTGGGGCAGTTCTGATTGTTCTGTGAGCCTGGTCACCCCTCCTGGCCACCCCATGGGTGTTCTCTGAGATTCCCATGTTTTGTGGGAGTGTTTTGCCTCTTACACAGGTGGTCATTTTGGCTGTGTGTTTTCAGGAAGAAGTTCAAAACTCGTTCAGGGGATACAGTGCGTCTTATAGATCTGCTGGAAGAAGGGCTGAAACGAGCAATGGACAAGCTGAAAGACAAGGAACGGGACAAGGTAGTTGTGACAAATTGCTTATCTTTCCTGAGAACTTCCCAGATTTGTTCACAGACTTGTGGTTTCTGCATTCTGGATGTGAGCTGAGAATATGAGCACTGCCAAACCGCCCAGGAGATGCTGTGGGTTGTGTATGCAATCAGTGTGATTAATTGATAGCAGTTTGGGCAAGGTGCTGTCATGGGGAAAGAAGAGCATCCCTGAGTACACAGAAGTGACAAAATGTGAGCTGGAGGCAGCACCCTGGCCTCTGGCTGGTACTGCAGAGCTTTTTGAGGATGGGAGTGGAGAGCTGGGCCTGGCAGGGCAGCTGGCCTTGCAGGTACCGTCAGGTCTCACTGGTGTGATGGCAACAGCAGTGACCCCACACACACGATGCAGGAGGTGGTGGCAGAATATATAAAGTAAGTTGCAGCCTTGGCCTGCTGGGCTAGCAGTGACTTCTGGTGATAGATGGTTGGGGATCTGCAGGGGTCTTTGGCATCAGGTTTCACCTTTTCCCTTGGAGGCTGTGGCTGAGTTTGCTGGAAGCCCTTTGCTTAATGAGCTTTCTGTCTGTCTTGGATCCTGATGGCCTGGGAAGAACTCTATCCAAGCACTGTGTGAGGCGGTGGAGTTGGGAAGTGCAGCTCCTTGGTGCTGTGCAGCATAGGGTGAACGTGAAAGGTCCCTTTTTAAACAGGAACACTGAGGAAGCATGGAAAAAAAACCACCTTGAAAATCTCCCAAGGATTCATATGAGGATTCAGATGATGCAAAGAAGTGCTTTGCCGTGATGACAGGGCACTATTCCACCAGAGAGGGGTTTTGTGAGTGTTTGGACTGCCCAAAATGCTTTATAAGGGTAGGAGGGCCAAGTGTTTGTTATGTGAACATGCAGTTTTTAAGAAGCAGGAGCACAGTATGAGCATCAAACCTGTATGGCATCATAGGGCACAGAAGGCCTGCAGGCCTTCAGGAGTAGAAGGAGTCAGCCTTAACCTGGGCAGGGCTGCAGTGCTGTTTGATTGCCGGAGAAGTGAGGGGTGGATATGGGGTTATCCAGTGTCTTGAAGTGGAAAAGTGGGTGGGTGTGAGCCTTTGACTGAGTACCACCTGGGTAAAATCCCCTCAGCAGCCTGGGCTTTCCTCTTCAGCCCAGCTGAGTGGCCAAGGCCACGTGTTGCAGTTTGTGGTGCCAACATAGTGTTCTTCCTTATGACTGTTACCTGTTTTGAAATTGCAACAGGTCCTCACGGCAGAAGAGCTGAAAGCTGCCCAGACATCAGTTGCTTTTGGATGTATTAAATATGCAGATCTCTCCCACAACAGACTAAACGATTACGTATTCTCCTTTGACAAGATGCTGGATGACCGAGGAAACACAGCTGCATATTTGCTATATGCCTTCACACGCATCAGGTAGGTTGACTGTGCTGGGAGTCACCTGGAGTTGGTGTCTGGTGCTCTCTGCATCTTTTATCGCAGGTGTGGGGAAAGGGGTGACTGAGTTGCATCAGTGCTGTTAGGGGTAGTGGGTAAGAGAAGCCATCTACACTGGTATGCACCATCATAGGCAAGGTTTTATTTGTCACTAGGAGTGGTGTCCTCTGCTGTTTTCTGAAACAGGGCTCCTCTGTGCATGACATGCATGCTGGGCTTTTAGCTAGCAGGGAGGGAACTGTGGGAGTTTCTGGTAATTCCCATTAGAGGTTTTAGGTGGTTGGAGAGAGGTGAGCCTGTGTTCCAGCAGCTGCTCACCTCAGGTGTTGCCATACCCCACACAGTTTTTCTGGTGCCCTGAGCCCTGGTTTGTGTGGCAGCATCAGCCGTCCTTGCCAGCGCCTGTGCCCAGAGCACATCCCTCCCTGTTCCACTGCAGTGCCCTGTTGGATCTCTCCAAGGGCAGCACCTCCCCTGCGTTCCCAGGGCTGATCGCTCTCTTCTGGCCTGGGAACCCAGGACTGGGCAAGTGAGGAGATCAGCGGGTGGCCTGCGCTAG